TTTTCCCAAAAAATTGCACTTTTTTTGGAAAAATGAAATTTTACAGCTAGCACTTTTACTGGAGCAAAAAGTTTTTTATTTTTAATTTTAGTCTATTTGGACCTTAGAGAATGGGGAAAATCTGAGTAGTCTTTTTTTTTTTTGGTACACCCTATTATGCATACATATTTATGATTTTTATGATTTTATTTATTATTCTTTATTTTGTTCGATCTTTGTTTTATTCGAGGAAATTACATAAAACTGATTTTTTTTCGGAGGTAAGCTTAAGCTCGAGATTAGACATCACGTGATTTATTTACCCAGGACTCCTATAAAGTTTCGTATCAAGTATGAAACATTTTGGTTACATTTGTGATAATAAGAAAAAAATAGTGGCAACATTCCAAAAAACAAATATAAATAAACGTATAACGTAATTTCTATATGTTACAAAAGCGTTTATAAGAAGCAGAATTAGCTTTTGTCAGCCTGCTACATTAATTCATTTATTTAATTCCCCTGCTATTCAAACGTTACTATGCGGATTAGAACTATGTGGTTGCAACAATAACTTTCTTCTTCTTAATATTGATATAGTTGGATAATTTGTCTTAAAAACTTTTTTTAACATTTTTAAGCATGCTAAGCATTCTTTTTTCAGAGTAGATTTCGAGTCAAACACTCTTTTTCGAAACAAGTTAATTATCAACAAGTTATAACAAATTAAATAATCAACAAACAACTTAATTATTAGGCCAATATGCAACCCAATATAAAACCTAACTATACTGACTCAGTTGCCGTGTATAAATAGTCAAATATCATTTATGGGTGAGTTATTGACAATATGCAAGCAACATGGTCCATTTTGTGATCGAGGGTAACAAAATTAGAATTGTACTCCCTAAGGGTGTATCGGAGGCCAATTTTACGGCCATTTTAAAAAATTCATTCTAAAAATTGAATTTAAAGAAAAAAATAATAATATTTAGACCTATAATGGAGTGGAACATTTCAAAGCAATGAAATAACATAACAACCGGTTTTTTGTTATTTTAACCTACAGCTTTTTTTTAGTTTAGTTTTAGTTTTTTTTTTTTTTTTTAGTTTTTAGTTTATTAGTTTATTTCGCCGTTAAAAATATTCACAAAGTACAACAATATAAATAGAACAATTGGCTGGAGCAAGAAGAAGACATAAAATAGCCTTATCACCGAGCCCCAATAATAGCGCAAATAAATATCCGTAATATATAATAATCCGTAATCCACTGGTTTGAAACCTCTTAATTCGAATCTAAAAACCCAAATTAAGAGTTGTTCTAGAACCTTTGGGTTCCAAACCCTTTTTAAACGAAGGATTCCAGAACCCTAGTTTCAGAACCCCGGCTTAAGGGGTTTTAGAACACCAAGGTTTTCCGAACCCCATTTTGCAATAGGGGTTCCATAACCCGTTCTCTAGAACCCCTTAATATTAGAGTTCCAGAACCCTGGGGTTCTAGAACCCCGAATTTAGGTCAGGGTTCAAATCCCTGATTTTAACTAATTTTTTTTTATTGCAAACAGTTTATTACATTTAAAAACACAATTTTCAAAAAAAAAAAGTTAGTTTGATTTTTAAATATGCTGTAAAAATCAAATAAACTTTGATTTTTATAGCATATTTGCGGGGGAATTGTTTTAAATACCATAAAGAATTTACTAAGCGCCCTTTGAGGGAACATTTCTTTTTAAACAGAATTGCGAATACATGGAATTTACTTCCAAAAGAAATTGTTACAGCAAAATCTGTAACTGTTTTAAAAGAGCTCTTGATATCTGGTTGAGTAGCAATCAAGCATAACTGCTGTCAAAGTGTGCGTGACAACACACTTGCTGGATTTGTCAAGCACAGCATGAACTATTAATTTATTTTGCAAATTTTTAAAAATACTGATTTTTTCCAATATAAAAAAATTTTCTGCAAACAGGCAATGAAATTAGCAAATAATATTTTTTAAAGTTTTTTTTTACCGTCAAGTATACAATTGTAGACCCTTGCAATAGTTTATTAATTCTAAGAGGGCAGACTTTTTTTATTACTATGCATATCAACAAAAAAAACATAGTCAGAATGGCCGATTTCTACACAAACTTCATAATAAATGATTAATTATTATAATATTGTGCGGCTACTCTAACCAGTGGTTAGAACGCTAGCTTTATAAGCCGGAGATCCAGATTCGAAAGGAGCCTCGGACATATTTTCGCGTCACGGTAAGGAAGGAGGCGTGAACTTCCTGAGTAAAACTTCCGTGGTGCTCTGTGAAAAGACCGTCAGGTCTTCTTGGGCAAATATATGTATATATTCAAAATATATTTTAAAGTTTAAAAATTAGGTTTTTGTCCATGTTTAGAAAAAAACATTTTGTATTAAAGCCATAATTTTCCTCCATACAAGCCGATTAGAAAAAGTTTAATTCTAATGGAGTAAAGCATGTAATAAATAAAAAAGCTTCAGTTGCTAAATTCCTTATTTATACTTGCCTGCTTATAAACTGAATGTGCACCTGAGTTGCAAACTGAGTTTCACTATCAAAATCTATTTATAATATTAGCGTAAGTTTTTTGATATTTAAAGTGACTCTGAAACAGCAGTCATCGTGTTTTTTTTTTTTTTTTGTTAATAAGGTTCTCTAAGAAGTCCTAATGATCATTTCACAGAACACTACCACAGGGAGAATAGCATTTAATAGATATGCACTCCATTTCCAAACTAAACGAAAAGGTTTTTGTGCTAAACTGTGAATCGAACCCAAGACTTTGCGAGCTGAGTCCGATTGCTTGACCACTACGCTACAGCTCCTAACTGAGCTTCACAAAGACGCTACGCTGTGTGCTGAAGTAGAGACTGAAATGTAACTTCTGCAGAGTTAAAGGCGATTATCATCTAAATCATAGCTTTTTAGGAGTACATTCATACTCTAAAAAATTATTGACTATTAGTTGAATTTTTCTTTCATATATGTGTGTGTAGAGGGGCGCTATTGAAAGACAGCAAGTCTTTCTTAAGTACCAAATAAGTGCTTTGTCATACGAAAGACTTGCTGAAGTAGATGCAGACAGGGCCGGCGCTAGGGGTGTGCATTATCTAATTAGTCGGCAAATATAGTCATGGTAGAACTGAGGCAACAAAACTAAAAATTTAGTCGGCATATATACTTATGACAAGCCCTTCCCCCCAAAAGACTCTTCGCGCCGGCCCTGGATGTAGATTACATAAATGAAATAATAACCCAACCGGGTAATAAAAATAACAATTATCACCATGGGCGGATCCTGTTTTTTTTGGTGTTTGAGATCCTTCCAAATGTATAAATATTTATACATTTACAATTATGTCAAATAAAAATGCTTTGCAAAAAATTGTTATGATTAAAGCTTGGGAATAAAAAAAGCCTTTGAAAGTCGTTCCTCCCATACCCTAAACGTGAGGGCAGAGAGTTTGAGAATTTTTTTTTACTTTTCTCAACTAAACTCATATTCATCAATAAATTTTAAATTTAAAAAAATCTTTGTTTTATATCTTTAAAGTTAAAAAAATCTTTGTTTTATATATTTTAAAATATATATATATATTTTTAAACCGAATTTAATCAAAATTGAAAACATTTTCATACCCCATTTTATTCTGTCTGTTTTTTTGTTCGAAAAAAAACAGGTATATAGAAAAAAATGTTTTTCGCACTAAACTCTTAAAAAGACTCTCGATTGACAAGATTTTTTCTACTGTAGTGATAATATTTACGATAAAAATCTCTCAAACCGAAAGCTAGTCTGCTATAAGCCCAGAATAATGAAATGTTGTCCTGAATATTTTTTATTTACATATATTTAAAAGATTCAAAATCTTTACATGTTTAAAAAAGAAGTGTTTCTATATATGTCAATGAAATAACGAAAAAGGTTTTTTTATTTTCTGCGTTTTCACAACTACAGACCAAATATGGCGCCTAAAATATATACCACATATAAATTATGAATATTATTAAAATCAAAAAAATATGAAAATCTAGAAAAAATATTAAATTAAAATAAATTTTTCTTAGTGCGGGTTCAATAATAAGTTTCGTTCCGTTTAAATACAAAGGTTCTTTTTTAAAAACCAATTTTGTTTTTAAACGTGATAAAACGTGATAATCTTAAGTTGGCAAGGTCAAGTATAAAAAATAATACATAATTAATACACCTTTCACGAGTGAGCTTTACGGCTTCTTGTTTTTTTTTTAGAAAATATTTACTTAGGGGGTGTTACTAAAACATTTATAACTTTTGAAATATTTGAGATAATTTTGTTTTGTAAAAAGAATAAAAACAAAAATAAAATGTTTTATCATACGATATTTAATACAATAGTAAAAAAACTTCTTTTAGTTTATAAAAAACGCGATAAATGATGAACTTGGCTAAATTTTAGTAATTTCTTGTTACTTTTTATCAAAAAAAAAATCAGAAAAATATATTTCTGATAGTTATTATCAATTACACTCGTTGTTTGACTATTATTAAAATAAAAAAACCTTACTTAATTGCTTAAGGTAAACAAAAACACTTACAATTGAAGTTTGCAAGCAAACCGCATTTTTTGCAAAGTTATTAAAAATGTCGTTTAAAGATAGATTATCTGTTAAATGAGTACGTTTTTAAATATGAAAAAAATTCACTAATTCAATGCATTACAAAATAAAGCCAGATATCGATTTTGAAATATTTTGTCTTAACATTCCAAGCTAAAGCCTTTAAAAAACTTTAGCAATTTATTTTTTTCTATGCATAGAGTTTTAATAATATGGTGTTAAGTTGTTAAAAAATTAAGACTCACAAAGACTAATAAAATAATTCATGACTACAACTGTGTTAAGTTTTTGAATTAACCTCGCTTTTGGTAATAGAATTATTTTATGGCACTTGAGTCAATCTTTAAAATTAGCTATTTGTTTATTTTAACATTTGTTAAAATAAACAAATAGCTAATTTTATTTGTTTGATGTGTTTTTATTCTCATATAAAACTGTTTTATAATAAGTTGATCTACTGATTCTGTCCTTTAAGTAGAAAACGATCTTTAAACACCCGGTTGATATTAGATTCACGCTCCATTCTAAACCAAAAGATTAGTTTTTATAAGATAGTTTTTGTTCAACAAGATTAGAAGATGGCTTTTAACAGACTCACAATAGCGGCAATAACTTTTACAAATTCATTATTTAAACTGTATCTTTACACTAACTTGTTATTTATGAGACTTAAATTCTATTCTTTAACCAGAGAGAAGTTATGTTGAGGAGAGGTACTGCAGAGGTAGAATTAACTTCTGATGATAATAATTGAAAGGGCATCTAATATTTAAATTAAATGTTACATATAATAAATGACAATATATTCTTCAAATTAACTACACAAACTAATATTTTATATTATAGCCAACAAACTTACCAGTTGCTCTGCTCATAAGTTAAAGTAGTAAGTTATATTTTTATACCCATTTGATGCAAGACTTATGTACCATTCTTTAACCTGGATGGTATTGCATAAGTATAATTAACTTGTGAAGATAAGAATGAAATGGGCATCTATCTAATATATAAAATTAATAATAAAAAATAATAAGTATTTTAAAAACTTTATTTTGTAATTACTTAGACTAAATTTTATGACCACAAACAAGACAAAGGCCTCGTCTATAAAACGAATTTTCACCACGCTTAGAACACACAACACACTTTCTTACCTTAGAGGCTTGAAGCTTCCTATAAGCTTTGCTGTGCAATTCAAAGCGTTTTAAAACAAGACGCAGCTTCTGTTCCTGATTTCTTACTGAATGCAACTGTCTTAATTCCTTATTTACACTATTATGCAAACACTCTTCCTCCTCTTCACTCAGCAAACCAATAGTTTTATGCAATTTTACAAAAAGTGGCACATTAAAAATGAGTTCATGCATTTTTCGCGTGAAAAATGAGTTCAAGCATGAAACTCGATAGCAAATAAATTTATATATTGATGAAGCTCAGTAATTTCGGCATCAAAAAGAAATTTTCGCTTAAAAAGAATAGGTTGCAACTTATTAAAAACATTAAACACAGATACAAATCTATTTTTAATAGCTTCATCATCAGTAACACTACAAAGTTTATAGTGGTTTCTTAAGACTATTTTGCAATGATTACCCACAAACACATTACCATGGTACGCTTGTCGCTCAACCTTATCTTTAAGGGCCTTATTAAGTGACCTTTCCTGAGTCCCCATGCTGCTTTTAGATATTTTTTCTAGGTTTTCACACTCCACCTGCAATTTAATATATTCAATGTCTAAAACTTCGCGTTGTGCACATATAAAAGAAATTTTTTCAGAAATATAAATGTCAAGACATTCTATATCTTCACCCTGACACGCTAAACAACGTTACAATCATATTTAGTAATTAAACACCTGATACTAGCACACATTTCTTGCTGTTTACAGGTTGTTTTTTTATTGGAGGAGATTAGGGATATTTTTTCTAATTCGAAAAAATTGTTATTAAAAGCCAACCATCGCGCCTTTAGATTTGCAATGTCTACAAATTGATTTCCTAATAAATGCAAAGTTTCTGCTGTTTTAGAACATTTAACGCTTTTAGCAGCCCACAATTTTTTTGTTCTCACATTCTCATTATGCGACAAAAACGAATCAGCTTGACAATCTTAAGTCTTACACTCCTTCAACAATAACTTATACAGTTTTAACACAACTCCTATCACAATATGTAAAACAGGTGGCATTACATTATTTAAAGTTATTATGGGGAATATCACAGGAGCAATAATTGATTTATGAAACTTACCTGAGCTCTTAAGTTTCCACCTTGCCTATTTTCACACAAGCTCTCATTGTAAGTACTTTCCAGAGATTGTATTGTCCTCCTTAAGATGTTACAATTAGCAGGTGTGTGAGGCATAGAAGCATGGTTTCTAAGAGATTTCAATTCAACTAGATCTGTAGAACTAGAAAAGCTAGCAGCTGAACTCCTGTTTTAGCCTAATACTCGCCTCTAATTGAGAACTTAATGAGTTACAATGTGTGTTTAAAGCCTTGTTTTTAGAATCAAATCCGTAATTTCAGGTTCCAACTTAAGTACATGCATTTTTAATTGATCTATTTGCTCCACATAAGTTTTTTCTTTAGAAGTTAATTGGTCAACTTGACTATTTAGTTTCTTATTCCTATTTAAAATTGGAAAATAATCTGCATCTGCTGATTTTCTTTTTTTTTGTTTGTGAAGCTGGAGACCGTTGCATATTAAAAAATTCTTCGTTTTTAGAAGCTTCATAAATTTTTATGGAATCTTTTTTTTGTCTTAATAATTTTTTGGACATTTTTTTAAAGTCTTCAATAACAGGCAAATTTAACTCAATTGGCATAATTAAATTTATAAAACTAAACAATGCTTTAGATGAAAAGACTTTAAGTAAAATTAAAATCACGTTATTAGTGATTTTATCAGCGTTCATTAATCGCTTAATAAAAGGAAAGTTACGTTCATTTTCCCAGCCATTTTTCCATCCAATGTACAGTATTAATATCTCCCTTTCAATAGAATGCATAGTAATAAATAAACTTCTCAGTAAAAATATAATACAAACAAATAAAATCAAATAATAATTATTGACAAATAACAAGTATGAAATAGATATCAACTTAACTGATGTTTGTAGATTGGTTACAAAAAAAAAATTAACACCGCTAAAGTTTATTTTTTTATACACTAAAATTTGTCTCGCTAAAAATGACGTTTTAATAAATTTTATTAAATAGTGAATTGGGAAGTAACGCATTTAAAGTTACGTCATTGCTTTAAAATATAAACAAAAATTTTACGCATGTACCTACAAATTTTGTTGCTAAAAGCATCAAAATTTGCCAGGGTTGAAGACGTTTTAGTTAGAAGTACAGAAAGTAATTTTTTTGATTTTCATGTGCAAAAAGGGTTGAAATTTCAATAATTTAGAGGGCATAACAAAAATTGAACGTTTTTCATATAAAACAAGTAAAAACAAAAAGAATAATGCTAAAAAAACTAACTTAAACTATTTTTTTTATCTATGCCCTCCAAAAATCTGATAAAATAGACATTTTTTTTATAAGTATGTAAAATTTCAATCATCAAGCATGTAGCTTAAAATATCAAATCTTAATTGGCCCAAGACAGGTTTTCCGTAAAATACGCAAAAAACAGAAAAGTGATCCAAAATCATTTAAAATATTTTAACAATGTTTATTTTTATTTCGTTTCATGTAAATATTTATTTAACGAAGAAAGATAGTTCTTTTACATTTTTTTAATTCGAAGATTAAAGTGTTTATAGAAAATAAATACTATTAATTTAAAGTTAGTGAATTTTTATACTTTTTATGCGGAAATTCTTTTTTTTTTGTTTAAACACAAAAATTCTTGTGACGTCAAGCTCGCTTTCATATTGAGTAAAACAGCCGTGCTTTAGAAGTTCCATTGTCAGCTAAGACAACTTTTGTATCTAAAACATTTCTAAACTCGCTAAAGTATCTTTCAACTTCATTCTTCGGTTTTTAAACCTCTTCATTGGTCTAAAAACCGCCTGATACACTATGTTAGAAATAACGACCTATACTTAAATAGTCGCGAACTTCATTAAAAGAAGACAAGTTTGAGATAATTTAGTATAAAACAAGTCATTGAATTTAAAAAATTTGCAATGATTAAAAATTACAATTTTTAACAAGCCATCGACAAAAATGTTTCGGTATCTCGTTCCATTTATGTAAATACTGTTGCCTTGCCTCTAAAAAAAGTGTAGCAAATATACAGTTCAATATATAGTTTCCAGTAATACCACGGACCTTTTTTTAATTTGTTCTTCTGCATTTTTATTTATTCAATAATAACAGTTTTTATAATTATGAAATATTAAATGCTATATGGCTACCATTAGGGCCGTAAAGACCATTCACACCGCCTGGGACAGCAACCTTAATTGACGCCCTTATTTATCAAAATTTTCCTACATGATCGGTGAAAGACCTTTTTTTTTATTGGCGCCCCTACGATATCTGCCACCCAGGACAAACTGTCTCTTTTCTTCTAAAAGAGATTTTGAAGTGACTTTTCGGGTTAAAATAAAATTTGATTCGGAAATTATCTTTTGGAGGCATCTATAAAGTACGTACGAAGGTAAAAAGAAGTTCGTAATAGTGACGAAGAAGTAAAAGACGTAAAAGTGACGAAGAAGTTCGTAAATAGGGAAGAGTCTATGTAAACGTATAAAAAAATAGAAAAAGTCTACTAAATATGTAAATAAATGTCAAAAAGTCATTAAAATATGGTGCTAACATAATAATAAAAAAAACTCGTGATACATAATGATACATAAAAGAAACATTTAAATGTATTTCCATTTAAAAATGAGTTGTCCATTTAGTAAATAGAGTTATTTAGATACTTAATCCATCCCGAGCCGTGGTTAGGCTTTTTGATGACTCCCGACGGGGTCGTAGAGAGAGCAATTTTAGGGTTTTTTTTTTCAAATTTTAGAGGGCCTTCTTCCAAATTCAGGATTTTTATTTATTTTTTTACTAACATTAGATATATTTTTTTACTAATGGGAGATTTTTTAATTTTATTTATTTACTATTACTAAAAAAAATATTAATAGTAATATAAATAATAATAATAACATAAAAACTATAAAATAGTTTTTAATAGAATACATTAAAAAAAAAAAGATTTTTTTTGCTCATTATTTGACTTCCCTACCTGTCTCTTCTAATTAAGTTACTTTTTTTTAACTATATGTTAAAAAACATATAGTTTTGGCTTCCTAAATTCATCGAATACCAATAGTTTTGCTTTTTTAAAAAGGCTGAAGTTCGGACTTCATCTCTTTTAGCAAAAAACAAAAAGCTCTGCACTTCAAACAGCTGACCAAACATAATCTCACTTTTTTTTTTTTTTTTTTTTTTTGTGATTTTACAACAGCGTGGTCAATGAAGCTAATAGCAATAATTGCTAAGCTCGTTTCTTAAATTAATGAATTGTTCTTTAATGAATTTAATTTGTTTAATAAAGAAATAATGTCTAAAAATAAATATTTATGATAAACATAACTTAAAATATTTACAGGAAAGCTTTTTTTTGCAATTCTAAAATTGTATTAAGGGGCCATAAGGGTCCATAAAGTACGTACGCAGTAAAACCACTGAATTTAGATTTCCCTCCAACCCCTGTACAAACCTGGACGCTCTGTGATAAGCCCACACGGTTTTATTTTTCAGTACTGTGGAGAAGCATTTCGTAAAATGTTCATGCCTCTTTCCTAATTGATGTTAAAAAACTTTCCCAGCGGTGAGTTTCGAACCCCGCCTTATGTGCCTGAGGCAAGCGTGCTACCACTGCACTACACGGCTGTTTGCTATGAAGAAAGGGCAAATAGTTGACAAAAATAATATTCAAATTGTGTAGATACTAGGGGTGGAATGTAATAAGAAGTGAACTTGAGTCAAGCTCGACTTGAACTTTATATTGCAACCAATAGCGACAGAGTATGGGTTTTCCCCTCAAAAATTACTCTATTGCCGCTATTGGTTACAAAGTAAAGTTCAAGTCGAACTTGACTCAAGTTTGCTTCTTGCATTCCACCCTAGCTGTCTTCAACACCTATTTACATTTTGACATGACACATATTTACATTTTGACATAACTAATGGCTTAACGGGTCATTTTGTGTAACACTATCTAATTTTTTTTTCAAGTTTAAGCCTTAATATTTGGATAGGCTTTAGGTATCACATAAATATCTGTTCATTTTCAGACTTAATATATATGATACTTTAGCGTGTTCAACTCTTCGCCTTAAGAAATTAACCCAAAATAAAAGTATAAAATTATTTAAAAAAATGCAATTTTTAAAATAATTTTATACTTTTGAACTAGAATAATTAGCTAACCGCACAGTTTCACGCGACTTTTTTAAATTATTTAGAGAGAGTTTTTGGGCTACGTCTGATATTAACTATAAAAGTTATGCGAAAATTCTTCCTTAGCTCAAAAAATGGGCTCAAAGATGGCAAATAAATTTTAAACAAAATATTATATCTCAATAAAATCTCAAAATTTTTAAGGCAGATTCTGAGTGAACGAATTATTCTTAGAATTTTTTTTTTCCCTTACCAATTTTCTTTTTATTTTGAACAATATATAAAAAATTCAAGTAATTTAGAGGGAGTCACTCTACTCACTTCCTGATTCTTACAAAAAAATGGCTCTTAAGATTCTCTTTTTATAACAATCCGTCTTTTTTTTTTACCCCCTCAAGTTCATGTTTTTAAGCTGTTTGAGGATTTTTAAAACACACTAGGGATATGCAGTTGGGGTTTTGGATTTCAATAATTGAAGGGTGGTAGAAACTTATAGGCTTTAAACTGCTTCTACAATAATTAGTTTCCATTTCAACCCTCTATTTACTAGACTATTAATACTGTTTTAAACTACCTGTCTTTTAATTAAATATAGAAAAATGTTGAATTAACAAAAAGTTTTGATCTTGTTTGTTTTCAATACTTAAAAATATTTCAAGAAAACAGGTAAAGGGGCAAGACACGGGTCTTTTACTTTCTAAGAAAAAGGTCTATAAAACCTCAGTGGAAACTTAAATCTTAAACTTGAGATTACTTAAATATTTAAGGGTTTTACCGTTTTCGGGAGAGCGGGGGCAGCTTGCCTCATGCACGACTTATACTGGATCCCCCACTACTTGACTGACGTTGAAAAATTTGATGTCGTTCATCCTTTCCATTTCCAACGTTAATTTCAATATTGAATAACGACATTATTTAACGCTGTTCAAACGTTAATGTGCCCACTGGAACCAGGGCCAACCATTAAATTAGATAATAAAGAGTTTTTTCAAAATTAGGGTTTGTAGGCAGTGATTGTAAACAGGTGGGTGTAAAATTTAGTCCAAATCCTATAAACAATGGTGGTGGTGGTGGTGGGGGGGGGAGGGAAGTTTAAATAAAGGGAGAGAAAGGGGAAGGAATTAAAAAAATTTAATTTATAAGTTCAAATTAAAAAGTTTTTTCTACAAAAACATGAATAAAACATAGTTCTTGTGTGGCTTGTGGTCAAATGTGTATTTTTATCAGCTGCTTTATCAGTATTTCAATAATGAGTATACTGAGAAATAAACCAAGTTTATTTTCGGCAATTTGAGATTTTTTTTTGCATATTCACCTGCCCAAGGCCCGAGGGGGCCAATACAGCAAAGGAGGCTACTCTTTTTTTTTTTTTTTTTGTCTGTTGATATAAATTCACAGTTGATATAAACCATATTTAATATATCTGTTATAATAATGACCTAAACTTTAGACAAACATTCTATTATACAATAAAATGAGTGTTAAATTAGGATTTTCATAACTGCCCAGGCCTTTGACAAAATGATTAGAGCTGATTTTTAAATGTTTACTCAAAGGGGCTTAGTTTTTGGGGATTTTAGTCAATTTCAAATAAACAGGAGGATGTTAATAAAAGTGAGGGGAAATTTACACTAAAAGTTTTTCTATATATTGATTACTGATATATTTTCTAATTTTAAAGGCTGATTTTTACTAAATTTTTGTTTTGAATTTTGAGATGAATAAGAAAATTTGAGAAAAATAAAAGTTAAAAATCTATTACCCGTCCAATCCCCCTCCCTCTTGTAATAATATCTTTTAAAAATAATACACAAATAATATAAATTATCTAAAAAAATAGTTATTGACACTACTTCTCTTTAATTTTTTGTTGAAAAACTTTAATACTTTTAAATTATTGTTAATCTTTGATATAATCCATTATATTTCAATACTAATATTTATATTATGTTATTAGTTAAATTGGAATTAACGTATTTAAAATTCTTGTTATGTACTTAGCTACTCTTCATTTTTTATATTAACTGACGATTTTTTAATGTAAATTTTATGATGGGGCTTGATGATAAGACAATTTTTGTCTTCTGCTTGCTCCAGTTCTCTTATTTATTAACGCGATTTATTTCATTGTAAATTTTAATATATGACAAAACTCTTTGCTTAAAAAAACAAAACAAAAAAACAAAACACCTTAGAGTAGGTACAAAAAGTGTTTTTTGCTCTTTCGAAACACCACGAGTTCATTTTTTGTTTAAACAGGCAATTTGTGGAAACGTAATTTTACAGATTTAACGTCATTATGTATTTTGTAACGCTTTATATTTCTGGATAATGTTTATAGTTATTACAAATACCAACAACATAGCGATTATTAACCATACTGTTTTTTAATGAAGAAACTTAACAGTAAAAACCTAATAATGAAGAAAAAATACTAATAAATATTCAAATAGTAAAATTAAAACTCACTTAGAATATATATAAAAATAACAAAAAGTTATATTATACAGAAATATTTTCTAACAATAAGAATGCAAATACATTTAGTGCAAAACTCGATTTTTTAATTATCTTTTACAATTTTACATTTTTTTTTTACTTTTATTTATGTTTGTAATTGTATATCATTTTTAAATTTAAAAGCTGTGTTTCTAATTATTTGTTTTTATGTTTATTATTAGTTTGTTTACATTTTGAACAACTTGCATTTAAATTGCAAGTGATTTTTACGCTGTGAAACACAAAAAAAGACCTCTGGAGGGGTGACACAGAAAGTTACCACACTGCACTGCATAGTGGCAGGGTGGCCAAAACTATAAAAAACTTATTATTTTTTATGGATTTTTGAATGATAAATTCAAAAGCTAAAACAATTACTATGAACATGTTGAAATATAAATTAAAATGTCAATTATATTAATGTTCAAAATCAAAGTGTTTTGACGAAAGTGACAAGAGAATCTTCATGGGTGATGTTTCAACCAATTTATATGATAAAAATCAATTAACTGTAAACTCAATTTTCCTTTTTTTTAAAAAAAAAAAAAAAAGCTGGGTATGTTTACTAATATATCATGAATTATTACAGATATAATAAATTGTTTTTTTGATTAAAAACTTTTTTTTTTTGATAATAAAAAAAAGTTTTGACCAAATCTTAAATTAACTAAGAGGAGTATATTTAATTAATTAACTTAAACACCTTTAATATTTTTTCAGACTTTTTGATCGTTGAAGTATTTAAAAAATTTTTTTTAATGTTGTTGTGAAAGTAAGGCCAAAATATGAAAAGATGTCTTAAAAAAATCAAATGTTTCAACTTTGGTGGAGCAGGAAAAACAAGAAAATTACAATTCTTTACAAGATGGTCTCAGCATTTATCGATGCTATACACTTTTCAAAATTTTTTGAAACAATTGATTTTTTGTGATGATGGCATTGTCCTTGTAAATGTCATTTTTCTACTATGGTTGTCAGTAGCAGATTCAATTTTTTTTTTAATATTTCCGATTTGATATTTCGGGGCAGTTTAAAAACTCTTTTGGTTAAGTTCATGCTTATGTCAAAATATATATTTTTTAAATGCTGCAAGAGGAGCCTGGGGATAAAATTAAGCTAAAAGATTTACCACCCCTATCCCAAAAACGAGAGCATTGAGTTAACAAAATATTGTCCATAAATATATTTGCTTATAAAATATTGGCACACTGAGGAGATTCATTTTAATTTCTACTGTTCCCGTAAGAGTTTTAGGTAAAAAAGCACAAGAATGTTACAACAAAATTGCTAAAAGATACTATTTTTAATATGACATCAAGACCTTAAGACTTATTCGTCTAATGAATTCATCTACTTTTCGTCTAATGAATTCATCTGCTACCTATTCTTCCATAATAAGTTACTGATCATTTCATAATAGAAGAAGTAAATACAAAAAGTGTTGCTAAAATGGTGATAACACTGAAAAAAACATCAATATTGGTCAACTTAATGAAAATTTTAATATAGTAGAATGATGTATAAATTGAAGATAATTAGAATAAAAAATGATAACAAAGAAAAATCACCTTAAAACTTTAAAAAGGTGGCGGGGGGACTCATTTTTATTTATTTCAGCTATAAGTATATTAATTTTAGATTAAGTTTTGGTATAGTACCCCAAATTTGAAGCAATATTTTAGTGTTTTAACCAAACACCTTCTCCTTGAAAATATATGCGGTATATGCGCCTATGTTACAAAGTTAAGTTTCTCTCAAATTATAAATTAAAACTATGTAAAATTTTGAATATATTCACTTAGCTACATAAACTTTTTTTTAAAAAGAAAATAAATGGAAAAAAAATTTTTGGGCACCCTTTTGTATGCAACCGTCAAGGCTGTCCCGAACCAAATTATATGGGGAGGGGGGTTAAACTCCTGAAAGAGCCAACTACAAAAATAAATTCGTTGCTCTCAAAAACAGAGTAATATAAGGCGGTGTCTAGGCTACCCTGAACTTCCAGTTGGGGGGAGAGAAGAAAAACTT